GGATGAGCACCGCCCCCTAGAGTCGAACACGACTGGACAAAAATTGTCAAGGGCAACCTTTACCTTTACCTTTAATATTTCAGTGGATCTACTGTAGTTGGAATTAACACAGAGATTTAGACCACTCTCTGTGGTGGTTCAGCATGTGAGACAAGATCCTGGAGTCACAACACCTGTGGAGAGTGCTCATAAATAGCAGAGCTCTCGCCTTGAGACTTGTAAGCCCCACTCTATGTATAGGAGCACAACAAAACTGGAAATGGAGAAAATGGGCCCAAAATAATTATTTATCTAAAATATTTATATACCGCCTTTCTCCTGAAGGATGCAAGGTGGCTTACAGTATATAAAAGAAGCAAAGTTGAAAGCCAATTAATAAATTATTACAATATTTTAAAAAGCATTGAACAAATATCATATTAAAACTCATAATAACAATATTAAAAACACAAGTAAATCACAGAATACTTCCTTTAAAAATGCCCCCTGGCAAAGCAATAAATATATCAATTTGAATAACGATGAAATAAGAACCATGTTTTTACTTGTTAGCAAGCTTATTAGCATTAAAGTAAAGATGCTAGGAGCAAATACCTGGTGGGGGATGAACTGAATAAAATTTAGTTTTTAAAAATACTGGCTGCTTTGTTTTCATTCATTTTCTTTTCATTCTCAAAATGAATTTGGGGAGTTTTTCATTACATGGGTGTCTGAGAACATTAGCCAGTATATGGTTTAATCCAAGAAATGTATAGGATACATTCAGATGCTCAAAGGAGATTTCTAGTGTTATTTTTAAAAGTTACAACAACATACCTCCTAACGTGCTCCTTAGAAATGCTAGATATCTGATATCACATTATTATTTTAATCCTTATTTGTATCCTACCTCTCAGGGTATATACTCTTCCAAGGTAGCTTATAAGTAACATGAAAACACATAAATAATAATAGTTTTAAAAATCATATCAAAATAAGTACTCTTCAAAATCTCTTCAAAAACTAGACTGGTTGCTAATATCTGGCTCTATAGAAGGAGAGGACCATCCAGCTACAACAGGAGCCACCATTTGACGTTATCTTCCTTTGCTCTCTTGCCATTCTTGGCCAAAGAAGAATTAATGAGACCCGGGAGTTGTCAGGCCAGATCGTCCAGGTAGAGCAGGCTCTCAGGTGTTCTTACAGGCCTTCCTCGCACTCCTGGTATGTTTCCTGCTGCACAAATAGTTTCAGTGGTACTATATGATGGACGGAGAAGATAATCTCTTACACTGAAAAGAGTCTGCACCAGAATTGCAAATGTCAGATCTAAAACTTGATTAGTGAAAATGAATCATTAGAAATTTAGAAAAATTACTCATGGTTGTTCATTGGTAAAACTGTGAATGTTTAACCACAATTACTTCTATTGGCACATTTAATTAAAATCTTAATTTTTTGAAGTGTCTCTGGAATCGAATGTTTAGTCGTTTAGTCGTGTCCGACTCTTTGTGACCCCATGGACCAGAGCACACTTGGGCCTCCTGTCTTCCAGTGCCTCCCGGAGTTGGGTCAAAGTCATGTTGGTTGCTACGATGACACTGTCCAACCATCTCGTCCTCAGCCTCAGGATCTGTCCTTCCAGTGAGCACTCAGGCTTGATTTCCTTTAGAATGGATAGGTTTGTTCTCCTTGTAGTCCAGGGGACTCTCAAGAGCCTCTTCCAGCACCACAATTCAAAAGCAGAAATTCTTCAGCAGCCAGCCTTCTTATGGTCCAGCTCTCACTTCCGTATCACTCCAAATCTATCCTCTTCACAGAACTATGAAAGTATTTCAAATTATACTGTAAAAATGCAAAAGCTTAATAGTCCATAATGGCAAAGGATACATTTCTAAATATTAATATTATTAAAAGATAAGAAAGTATTATTGTAAGTCTTACTTTAAAAACACGGAAAATGTCAAAATTGCTAACAGTAAAAATATGTACAGCAAAAAAGCTTTACTTAGCCTCTAAGCATGTTAAGAACTCATGCAGAAAAAGATTTTCTTATCCAGCCTAATGTAAAATTCTTTTTTCTTTTCTTTTTTTTGCTAGCATCTATTGCTGTGCTACTACATATTCTTTGATGTCTGTTGCCCATCTGCTTGTCCATTCATGACTGTGTGTGCCCCATCACTCTATTTATAACTCTTACAGATTGTTTTCATTTTCCCTTATCTTAACAACTAAGGATTTTCAACTTGTAGGAATTTCGACATGTTCTCATCTAACACAAATCTTCATCGACTCATATTCCATTCTGTTTCCAAAAGCTGATAAAATTCTTTACATAATATTTAGACTTATCTTTTAGCTTTAAGACAATGGTACCTCCATCTATGGTACTTAAATATAACATATTGTTTAATTTCTTAGTGTTCAAATATTAATACTCTTCTGAAAAATGGCAGTATTCCTATGAAAGACATTCAACATTTAGCTGTCATAAATCTGTTTACAGTTTCTATAACTTTAATCTGCAGTCAGTTGTTTTGGATACTCATCGAAGTGTTATGAGATTACTCACAGTAGCGGTTCCAAGCCATAGTTTTAAACTGTATTTTATTTTAAGACTTTTTTCTGCTCAACCCACCCATGATGATTTTAAATTCCTATGGAACACAACATCAAATATTGACACACTGCCTATTGGGGAAGGTTGCTAACTTTTTTCTGGCAGGGCTACTGAGCCTTGAACAGTTGATTAAAATAGATAGAAATTCAAAATCAGCAGATTAAAAAAATCAGGATTGAAATATTATCCCAGTCTGGAGTTTCCTTGGATGAAGAATAAGCACCCACACTTTTGTATTTATGTGCATTGTAGAAGAAGGACCAATTTGAATTGTTCTGTTCAATTTTCACATCCTTTTCATTAGCTGGATAGATGGAAGTCCAGTGATCTATACAGCTTGGGCCCCGGATGAACCCAATTTTGCAAATGATGATGAAAACTGTGTGGTTATGTACGCCAAAACGGGTAGGTAGAAGAAGAGCAACTCATTTACAGCTCCTTGGATTCGTTCCAGAATTAATTCCTAAATTTGAGTGGACCATCCCATCAGTGGAACTTACAGTATATTGATCATAGTTAGCTGACTTCCCACTGTTTTGAGTAGGCCTGCTTTATATAAAATTCTGAAACCATTGCATTGGATTTGCAGTCATAATCATTATCCTAATCAAAAATACACATTGGGAGAAAAACAGGGAAATATCTTCTTGTACAACTCTGATCTTTCTCAAATAGTCTTATACCACCTTAAAAGGCTACATAAGGCTTTCTGAATTGCTGCATCTCTTTATCAAATCTGTATTATGTGAGCAAGAATAGAAAGCAACATAGGTTTGGGAAGACTTAGTTTGTGATATTTTAATATCTCTGTGACTTTAAATCACAGATCTGAAGACATCTGCTTGTTTATTGCTTTTATAGCTCACTTTTCTTCCAGCATGCTTCATAACTCAGCAAATATGGCATTGATAGACAGACCCCCTTCCAGAATGTGACCAGACCTAGGGTCAAATTAGAGGTTAATAGAAATGTGGATTCCCTCAGATTTACTTCTGCTCCCTTCCAAATTTCCTTAGAGCTGCAGTATGCAGTGGTGCCTCGCAAGACGAATGTAATTTGTTCCGTGAGAAGTACTGTCTTGCGAAAAAAAAATCGTCTTGGGAAGTTCCCTATGGGAACCTTGCAAGATGAATGAAATTTATTCATGTTGCGAGGCATCGATCTCGAAAAAAAAAGTCTTGTGAAGCATGGTCATAGAAGAAACCATCTCGCGAGGGGTCATAGCGATTGCAAAAAACAATCGTCTTGCGGGTTTTTCGTCCTGCGAGGCATTCATCTTGCAAGGCACCACTGCATGTCTCAGCAATTAGACTTGGAAATTAGGCTTGACTCATTTGTGATTATGCCAATGACTAGTTACAAAACAAAGTAAACAAAATGCACCAGGAAGGTGGGCTGAAGATTGGCTTTTCGTTTAAAACAAGGTGACAAAGTCATTACAAATGCCCAGTTATGCTAGCCCTTCAGACACTATAACTTACACAATTTTCTAGCTGAAGAGGGGAATGTTCTATGACAAACAAGTGTGTTTTGGTCACTTAAGAGATGTCCTAAATGCATAATGCAGTTGAACCTTAGCCCATTTACCTTAATAATGTAGCTTCAGGCTTTATATAACATAAGTGTGAGTTTCACATTTCCTCTGTTATTCACTTCAGTTTTTGATATATGCACGGAGAAGTACTTTTTTTAGGTTGGAAATAATCCAGTTTTACCAATTGTTAACATAATTTCTCTGTTTAGGTTTATGGACTAACATAAATTGTGGTACTCAGCAGTATTTTGTCTGCGAAAGACATAACCGTTCTGTCCGTTCAACTGTTGCTCCCACATCACCCCCACCACAGGGGGGCTGTGCTGACGGCTGGCTTTTCTTTGATAACAAGGTAACAAAAGTTGTGACAAAATCAGCAAATACTTTGGGATTTGCTCCATTTAGAAAATGGGTGAAATCGAAGTAATTGTTCCTGCCTGTACGATGCAAAGGCTAAATGGAATTAATCCACCCCTTTGGGTTGCAAAATGGCTTTTTTTCACTTTTGGGAAGAGGCTACTACTTTGTCTTGCCAGAAAGATTTGAAATGACTTTTTTTGGCTTGTCTGTAGAGGAGGAGGGGGAAGGAGCAGAAGCAAGAATGCCTGCCTAGAGAAAATGAGATTAATGATTAATGAATTCACAAATGACAGAATTTTAAAGATTGTCCCTCTTTTTATTACCCTCAAGTGCTTCCAAATATTTGGTTTTAATGAAGAAGAGAGAAAAAACTGGACTGCAGCACGTACTGATTGCAAAAATCAAGGTGGAAACCTGGCAACAATACCAAACAAAGCTGTTCAAGGTATGGTCAGTTCTTGAAAACATTCTCTTCTTTTAGGTATTTTTTTAAAGCCCCAAACACCTATTCCGATAAACGTCAGGGTTTACTGATGTTAAAGCTGTACTGTAGCTTTTTTCCCCAGCTGCTGCCCAGGTTGCATGTGAAACTGAAAAAATACATGTGAGGAGGTGGAAAATGGAAAAATGCTGAAGCAGTGCATAGCATAATCTCCCTCCATGTTGTTCTCATTACCCAAGAAGCATGAAAAAAATCCATTTTCCAGGGGCTCCCAGGAGCAAATTTAAAGTGCACCAGAGCAAATGTCTATCCTGAATCAATGCAAATCTTTGTGTGCAGGGTTGTGTTAATAACATCATAATGGCAGGTTCTCAATGACTGAGTGCCATCTTAGGAGTATTTAAAAGTGACAAAATATGTAAGACGAGGTTTCTATCATGCAACCCCAATTATTGAAGAGGGACTGTCTACTTAGAACCCTCCCATCGCTACACAATGTTGTTGGATAGGTATCTTAAAGCTTCTTGATTTGGCAACAGGTATTATCTTTCCAAATAAAGTTCCAGTCTGAGGAAGTAACAAAGCTTGTATGACAAAATCATATTCCGTTTCAGAGGTCAGTCTGAGAGAAATAATTTGTTGTCTATTACTTAGAAAGAAAAATGTGGAAAAAATATTGGTTCCAACTAGTCTCAGACCCAGCCTTATTTAAACTGTAGTCATTTTCCACCTGTTAAGTTTCCAAAGTAGGCCATAAGTAGAGGACACACTGTTGAGAGTATGGTTGAGCAAATGACTGTCAGTAGCAAAACTGATGTGCAGGCATACAGTTTGTTCTTTCTTGGTTTGGCCTGCTCTGTACAGTGATACAATTAAGAGTGACATTATTTCCTTCCATACGCCTCCATCAATCTCTCTCTGTTGTTCTCATTGGTCCATAGATAGCAAATCCGATTATCTGTTTCTCTCAGATGTGTAGTTCACTACAGGGCCCAAAGTAGACATGGAGAGAAATGTGCATTCTTTTCTATTAGCACATTTTGCCCCCCAAAAGTGGATATCCTCAGGTATTCAGCCCTTGGAAAACAGTCCTCAAAATTAAGCCTATGCTTACTTCTCGAGAGACCAATCACAAACCATGTCTATCTTTGTAAAACATAGAGGTAAAGGAAGCCACATACCATGACAAACTGAATGTAGTCAGCAGAGGAGACCCTCCTCTTGGTCCCATTGCCAGCACAGGTACAGCTGATAGAGACACGGGAGAGGACGTTTCTCCATGGCAACTCCCAGGCTATGGAACGCTCTTCCTCGGGAGACCAGGATGGCCCCTTCCCTGTTATCCTTCAAAAAAAGCTAGACCCATCTCTTCAGGCAGGCTTTCAACAATTAAAGCTGAATTCCTCAACCCCATTTTAGCAGATAAATTTAATTTTTCCATGTTTTAATCTTTTAATTAAATTTTAAATCATATACAGCGGACCCTCGACTTACAGAATTAATCCATATTGGAACAGTGGCTGTAGGTTGAGGCTCCATTGACCTACAATGCATTGAAACCGATTAATCCGTAACCGGCCATTTTTGTTCCATTTTGCTTTTTTTTTTCCCTGGTCTGTAGGTCAAGTCTCCGGCTGCAGGTCAGAATTAAATTTTGCAGCCAGAGAAGTCTGTAACTTGAAAAATCTGTAAGTAGAGCTGTCTGTAAGTCGAGGGTCCACTTTAAGTCGAGGGTCCACTGTATCTTGCCAGCCTTGGCCAGCATGGCCAATGGTGAGCACTGATAGGAATTCCATTCTAGGAACAACTAGAAGGCTACAGGCTCCCTCTTTTGTGTGTTAATGTAGGAAAACAATTTTTCTAAAATATAATCAGTTCAGTTCTTGTTCTAAGTTGTTCAATTGAATGATATATGATTTTCAGAAAGTTTATGGCAGAGTGTTTCTTTGTTTTCTCTCAGCTTTCCTCACGATGCACTTAAAAAGTGTTTCAGCAGACACCTGGATTGGGCTGAACGATATCGCTTCAGAGAGGACATTCGTTTGGACAGACGGAAGTGGTGTCTACTACACAAATTGGGGCAACGGCTTTCCAATTCATCATGTAAGTCCTCTTGGCAAAGGCTTTCATCCTTTTTCTTGGCTGCAGCATATGCACTTGATGGTTTGCTTCTACAGGAAGCCTCTGTAGACAAGAATATTTGTAGTGAGGTAGGATTGTTGCAGACAAAGTGCTTATGTTATCTTAAAACGCTGTCTTTAAAAATATAAAATAGATTAGGGGGTATAGGATTGCAAATGTACGATTTAATTTTGTTCATGACACTTTTCTTATTTCCATTTTTTTGCCATAGAGGAGGGAGTCAACCCTCCATATGCCTGAGATAAGTTTTTCTTCCTATGGAGGGCTACCTCCATTACATCTGGTTTCTAGTTATATTGGTCACTCTGTAGAGTTTTGGGGAGGTTCTTGGGGAACTGAATAAGGAAGAATTTAAATGACATTTGAGAGTAAGTCTGGTCTAATGGAAAGCATGCACATCTGCAGTGGTGCAGTTGTTCTACCTTGGTCATGGTGTTTGTGTATTTTAGTTTTGAGTGGTACTATAAAACACAGGGTTTATGCTGCATAATCAGCACAAAACATTGTCATACATTTTATTTTATTTTTATTAGTTTTATTTATGTGCTGCATTTCTCCCAACAAGGGGCCCAAGTGGCTTACATTAAAATTCACACAATTTAAAAACACAATAAGTTAAATATTAAAAGATAAATTAAACAATATATGAATTAAAAATTAAATTAAAAGATTAAAACATCAAAACATGGAAAAGATCAAAATTATTTGCTGAAATGGGGTTCAGGGATTCAGTAGTAATTGTTAAAAGCCTGCCTGAAGAGATGGGTCTTTAGGGTTTTTTGAAAGGATAAAAGGGAAGGGGCCATCCTGCTCTCCTTCCATAGCCTGGGAGCTGCCATAGAGAAATGCCCTCTCCAGTGTCCCCATCAGCTGTGCTTGTGCTGGCAATGGGACCGAGAGGAGGGTCTCCTCTGCTGATCTTAATTGCTGAGAATCATCAATCCTGCCTAGTCCAATATTGTCAATGACTCACAGGCAGAGGTTTCTGCCATACAAGAGCACTAAAATTTTATGGTGGTCTTCCATCCAAGTACTAACCAGGTACAACTCTGCTTAGATTACACAATCAGAAAAGATCAGGGTGGAAATGCAGAGCAACATCTGGAGGGTCACCCATTCCAACTTCTGGTACAGGAGGTGATTTAGGGTGTTCCGCTTTGCTATCCACTGTTGACCCTCCCATTGTTGTTGTTTTTTAAAACCTCTGCAGCCAAACTGCAACTTCTTTTCCAAGACTGTATTCTGGGAACATCCATATCAGAAAAATCTTTAAAAACCTTTCATATAGAGAACAAATAAACCATGCCTGATTATTAGGTATGGAAAAGGAAAAGCAGAAAACAAGATTCTGGTTGCGGGAATCAGTAATTCATATTTTATCAGTCTAGATGTAAAGCTTCTGTGATTATTTATCATGGAATTGGTGGTCAATTCCTTATTTCTCAAAAAAAGATTATTTGTGGTGTAAAATAATTGGGGACAGAGCTGAAAGAGTCATTACCTGGCAAATGGTGACTCCTTTTTTCTCCCAAAAGCAAAAATTGATTCCGATAAGATAGTGGTAAAATATGACAGGTATTCATCTACAATATATCTGGGATGGTTATAATAAGCAAAGATTCGTATTTGCTCTGTTTAAAAAATATAGGATGAGGATTCTAAGAACAGGTTATAGAGTGCAACACATAACACACATTACTCTTCTTCATTCTCTAGTATTTGTATGGTAGTGATGACTGTGTTTCCATGATGAAGCAACCTGAACTACAGGCAGGAAATTGGAGAGATGGACCATGTGAAGTTCAAAAGAGCTACATCTGTCAAAGGAATACAGGTAGGTTTCTAGAAGCACAGAACAATTTCATTCTTATGAAGCCCAGAACCAATTTTCCATGTTATAGTACCCTATTTCCCCCAAAATAAGACCTTACCTGAAAATAAACCCTAGTATGATTTTCCAGGATACTCATAATATAATCCCTACCCCCAAAATAAGTCCCAGTTAAGTGAAACCCTGCCCTCCACCATTGTGCAGCAACCAGAAGATGACATAATTGTATTTGAATAAATGTAGATTTTTGTACATAAATTATTTTTAAACATCCTCTGAAAATAAGCTCTAATGCATTTTTGGAGCAAAAATTAATATAAGATCCTGTCTTATTTTGGGGGAAACACAGTATTTTGGTCAAAAAGAAAAGGAGTATGCCAGCTTTAAAACCATTGGTGACTAGATATTTATCTGTATAAACAAATAGAAGAAAATATGGCACCAGCTGTGACTGTGATTTTAACATATATGGTAACAGACAGCCACAATTGTATGCCACTGATAAGGAATTTTTTCACAGATCATTTCCAAAATAATTCAGAAGGAAGGTTTTGGTATACGATTATGTAGCTATATTTTAAAGTCATAATAACCTCTAGACCCATTCAGGTGTTCATAGGGGTCACTTCATCCATGCCTGTAGGTATTAATTTGAAAGCAAGAGCAGAGATCCTACATGTATGTCTTCCCTACCTGCGGACCCAGTTTGAATGCTAGAACAGACTTTTTATTCAGCAGGAATGATAGTGATTAGAAGGCGGAATGGAACAATATTCTCTTGGCTTCATCACAAAGACTGGGGAAGATATATCTGTTAGGGATTTTATTTGCTTCTTTGGAGATTGTAAAGAACACAAATTCTGTGGCATGAGCCAGCTCCGATTTTAACTTAGACCTCGACTAACATTTTATTTTTTAACATCATTTTCAATATCCATTCAAGGTTTTAAAATATTTTATTTCAGATTTTTAACATTTAAATATATTGAATCACAAAGGATATAATATCCATAATTTCAGTATCAAGTGGAATCGATTTATATTTTTAACATCTGAAATGTTCACTGCCTTTTTTCCATATTCCTCCACCACAGATCCTGCTTTATCTCACTCTGAAACAACAATTCCAGCTTCTCAATATACCCGTTATGGAAATAGCAGCTATTCTGTCCTTGGTCCCAGAATGACATGGGAAGAAGCAAGGAAAAAGTGTAAATCTGAGCACTCAGAGCTTGCCAGCATTTTAAACCCCTACATCCAGTCATTCCTATGGCTGCAGGTCTTAAAGTATGGGGAACCTGTGTGGATTGGCCTAAACAGTAACAGGGTAAGGCAGTCAGGTGTACAAGAACAATTATATATGTCAAGAAGCCGTATTCGGGAAACCCTGGTTAGTAATTCTCTAAGGTAAGGAAGTAAGGTGTACAGGAACAATCATGTATGCCAAGAAGCTGTATTCGGGAAACCCTGGTTAGTAATTCTCAGCACAAGGCATTTATAATCTGACTTCTACAACAGTAGTAGTAACCTGAAAACAGCTTTGGAGAAGATCTGTGCCAATGCTTGGTTTACATACTAGCTGTTTGTGAGCGATACTAGTTCTGTTGGGAACTTGGGTAAAAAACTGACAGTGCTTCCAGCAAGAAAGCTGCAGTTTCAGTTATTTATAAGATCATGTTAAATATGGCAAAAGCACAGGTTTGGGTTTGAAATATTCATGGCAGGATAGCATGTAGACTCAGAAACCTAAGTCTATTTCTTCTAGTATTTGTGAAACTATAGTTAAAATTATGCATTGCTGGTACAGCATATGAAGTAATCATGTATTTTAGTGACTAGCTTTTGGTCATTTATATATATGTATTTGTTTTGACCCATTATTAGCTCTGTTTAATTTGTTTATAGTGGAAAATATAAAACTCATACATAAATAAATTATTATTATTATTATTATTATTATTATTATTATTATTATTATTATTATTATTATTATTATTATTATTATT